TATATATATACACAATATACAGCCAAAGAGGCGCTCTCACAGGTATTAATTAGACGGGATGAGGCATCAAGGCACGGGTACACCCACTGGGCTCTCGAGATATAACGGACATTCAATTTGATCGCGCGCGCCGAGTCAATGACCGAGAGATGGATTATACACACACACATATGTACGCACAGCCTTTGGCACACATATAGTTACTGGCTCAGCTTTTCGGGGGGTTTGATTGGACGTACACCCCTGCAGTGGAAGACTAATCGAAAAGTCACGGGGGATAGCTCGCGAGAAATTAAATCTTGGGATTGAAAAAATGTTCGCAATTGGCGAAAAAGCAGAGTCTTCCGTTACTACATCGATGGAGGCGATCTTTGGTCCACCGAGTTGGCTTTAGCTCCTCCCATGCACCGAGAGTCTATATCCTGAGGTAATCCTAATTATACGAGAACTCGAGCCTCGGCTTGGGAGGCTGCGTATAGTTACAGAATTTCTCTCGTTTCTCGACTCGTGTGCATATAGCTAAGGAGATACGGCACGAGCCAAGGAACAAGTTGCGGCTGATCCACGAATGCCCGAATTAGTCCATGAGAATGCACGTACCTGGACGCGAGTACCTATACTCGAAAAGGAAGGCAGCTGTAGAAGGGAGAGATATACACTGGTATACCTCAAGTGCATAAACATAAACAGTGCATCGCCTTGTGAGTATGGAAAAGAAGGTGCGCGTGTGTGTAGGGGTAGGTGCACGTAAGTGGGTGAGCCGTGGGCACTTACGCTCGGGTACTTGCGCTTGGAGAACTCGCGGGCGAGCTCGAGCTGCTGCCAGGAGATGTGCAGGAAGATGGCCGTCGTGCCGGCGAACTCGGTACCGATGAACCCGCTCACGTACAGGAGGAACGAGTAGCCGTACTGGTACACGAACGGTGGCCCCTGCGTTAACAAGAAAACACATACCGGTGATGATTCTTTTTTTTTTTTTTTTTTGTTTTGTTACACACTCCCTCTATCCTCATGCGGGCGTGACGCGCATTTTTTCCCATCGAGGGTTATTTATTGCTGCGCGAGGAGAGGCGGCCGGCGAAAAGTTTTACCCCCCGTCCACGTTTGACGCGATCGAACTTTTGTCGCGAGTTTGGTTTTCTTTATTTCGGCGTCGAAGTAACTGGGTTTGTTTTGCCCCACGATCACCCCCTCCCACCTTTTTTTTTTTTTTTTTTTTTTTTTCATGTATTATTTTTTCTCTTTTCGACAAGAGTGTACACACGTATAGCTTTGGAATCGGGGTTCTTTTACGATTCGCGAGTACGGAGAATTCAACATCGTGGAGACGGTGGTGCAATTTTTTTTGCAAAAGTGATCAAACTTGGCTCTGCCGCAACCCAACCGAAAGCAAACTTTTGTGTATCTTCCAGAGGTCGTGGTTACTCGAGCAACACGATAATTTTCAAGCTCTCTCAGGGCGCGATGTTGATTTTCGCGTAATATGACGATAAAACAAACAACATGGGTACGTACGGAGTTCGCGTATATCTATACGAAAAAAAAGGACGGAGCGGGAGCCAAGTGTGCGGGAGGGCCGAATGAATAATAAAGGCGTAAATTTACCCTCCTCCTCCCCCCCCCAGTAATCTATGCTAGGGGGAAAATTTGCACGAGTCAGGAGAGTAGGTATATAAAAAAACGGTGTACGAGTCGCTTGCAAGATGCATCCACGACCACGGGAGCACACGCAGAGCCAATAATAAATCGATGCCTCCTTTTTTTTTTTTTTTTGTTGTTGTTGCTGCGTTTCTCTATTACACGAGGGGCTATTCTGGTCGAGCGCCAGGGTAACTAATTATACTCGCACCGAGAGAGCCCGCGTTTTCTTTGTTTCTTCCTTTCTTTCGTCCTTTTATTAAATTCGTGCTTTTTCTCTTTTGTTTCTTATTCGCGTGATTATTTTGCATTTTCCTTGAAAAACTCACGTGAAACGAGGAACGGGGCCGCAATTTGCTGCCCACCTCGGCTTTGAACACAGATATGTACATAACCATGCCGACCAGCATCAGGAGACCTGCAACGAAAGAAATGCGGGCGAAACGAGAGTAGCCGTGCTTCATTTTATACCTTCTTCTTCTTCTTCTTTTTGTCCCTTTTGTTTCACTTTGAAAATAACCGACTGCAAATCTTGGTAATTTTAGTTTAAAAAGGTTTATCAAATGTCACAAAAAATTTTACAATCATTGACTTTGGAACGATCCAGATTAGATTTGTTGGCCCACGTGTTCCTTCACGAATCGGCTTCGCACGTAAAAAACATTAAAACTCGAATCGAACGGCGCAGAACCGATACGCGATGCACGTCTGACCATACCCGGTCATTACTACTTGTCGAGCGCGCGCAGTTTTTTTTTTTTTTTTTTCCGTGCAACCGGCATATAAACCTAAAACAATAAAATTCACAATGATAAAAAAAAAACTCTACCGTATTTCCCGTTTTACTTTACTTTTACAAAGTTGTACCCATTAAAGCCGATAAGTTTGCGCAGTAGTATAAAAAGCCTTTCGTCAGACGCGGCTCGGCGCTCATCGAGATACCGGCTTTATCGCACTGGCAACGGGACTGGGATGAAAAAAAGAAAAGAAAAACAAACAACAATAAAAAAAAAAAAAAAAAAGGCTGGTCTTACCTGATACGATAAAAGTGATGCCGGCTATAAAGATGTAGAGACTGGGCTTGGGCCTGGTCACCTGTCCGGCGAAGTAGCACACCTCGGCGACGACGAGCAGAGCCGTTGCCGTGAAAAAGAAGATAGCCGACTTTGTCACCGCATCTGCGCCCAAGAGACCAGCGTAAGAAAAAGGAAGAAGAGGCGACATCCGGCGGATTAACATAGAGGAGGGCAGTAAAGTTTCCGGGAGAGCTTTAGGGGGTGGGGGCGGAGGAGCGCGAGTATATCCTTTCTCTCCTGGGGCCACTGTGCTCTGTTGTTGGCGCGTATGGATATGAGGGGCTAAGGAGACGGTATACGCGTGGCGTAAGCAAGTGTCGCGGTGTTTCTTCCTTTTTCGCGTTTTATGGGTCGTTTGCGGTGGGCGGTGCTTTTTGACATTTTTTTCGCTCGGGGAGAGGATAAGACCAACCGAGGAGGGTGTCATCCAGCAAAATAAGTGTGCTGTTTTTACATTTTTGGAAAATTATGCGCGACTTTAGCCAGATAGAGCAGTTTTGCGGGGTCCAGAAATCATTGGGGTTTTCGTTGTCAGGCACGCTTTTTTGCTTCATTTTTTGTTTATTTTTTTTTCCTCCCCATCTAGAATCAACGAAAATAATCCAGCAACTGTGACACTCTTTTTGTATTCCAATCTGCAAAAGAATCCAACTTTTTCAAATATCAGGGTGGTAAAATTGCCTTTTACATTCCTTGGTTTAAAAAATTAATTGATTCGCCGCTTCTAGGTTCGGCAGTGGAATAATAACATTAATTACAGCCAAAGCTCTGGATCCCGAGAACTTGTGTTTGTCACCAAATTTCTCAAATAACGTTGCCATAACGCACCCACCTCGATGTTGATTTGTTAAAATAATGGCACTTTCCGTCCACGTAGAAACGCACACATGTACCGTAAAATGCTTCAAATGTGAAATGAAATTCGAAACGCAAGCTTTGTTGTATCAGCGATGAAATTCGGGAATCAAATTGCAACCGCGTAACGAGTACACGCGAATGGCCTACGAAATTTTAATAAAGTGAAAAACTGTAAAAAGCGAATTCTATACGTTTATTCATTTTCTTCCCCCAAATAAGCCCGTATCGATTCCGTGCTCATAGCCAATAGAGCCCAGACACATGTATACACTCCTAGAGAATCGACGAGGCAGTAAAAACTCGCACGCACCCTCTTTCAAATGTAAATCCGCGGTATTTTCCCTCGCATCCCACCATCCTCAAACGTCACGCGTCGCTCGAAGCTCGATATTTTTTCGATCCCATGATTTTCAACCCCAAAGCTATGAAGCGCCCCAAAACAATCCAGCTCCTCCTTCGCCGCATATTTACAAAGGTTATATATACGCCACGAGAGAGGAAAAATAATGCAAGATAGTGAGACAGAAAGAAAAAAAAAAAGAGTACTTACAGGGTATGGCCATGGTCGAGTCGCTCGGATCGGGGCTGTACTCTTCTTTCGGGAAGTAATCGATATTCGAGCACTCGTACTCCGCACCCGCACCTGCAACGTATAAAGACACGCTTGTAAACACGTGTATGAAGCACACACGGTATATATGTATGTATATGTATATACACGGGCGTTGTGCTTATATTTACAGAGCTACGCCAAATAACACTCCGTTTGATCCTCCCTCGAGTGCGGCAGGGAATTCCCAAGGCGTTGCAACTACTGCACACACACACACACAGGTATGTGTAAATGGGGTGGGAGAGAGAGAGAGAAGAGGTACACAAATACACGAGTTGAAAATCGGCGATGCGAGCGCTCTGCCGTCAAAGTTTTCTCGCTCGCGCCTACACTGCGAGTAGTACGAGTAAATCGTACGGTCAGACGTCAGAGCGATTCCTTCCCGTGTCTCCGCGCTACATATACACACAATGCAGCTTTGCGCAGAGACAAGAATGCAATTTCGCAGCTCCTCCTCCTCCTCCTCCTTCGTTCTCGTTTTCGCCTTTTATTAGTTCGGAATAGCTCGCGTCCCCCGATTCTGTTTACGGCGCCTGGAAAAACAGTCCCTCGCGCGACTCGAGAATTATTTTCTTTCGTTTCGCCTCCCCCCCTGCTCTTATCGCAAATCGCGTCGTATACAAAGGCAAACCCCCGACAAAGCAGACTTTCCGTTTCTCGAAGCGTGAATTTAACTTGGGGTTTTTTTTTTTTTTTTTTTTTTTTTATTGTCTTACGTGCTTTAATTTCAGACGTGTCGTGAGCAAAGTCGATCTTCTCACTTTCCGTCCTCTTTGGATTAGCTGAGGGAGATCTTGCAAATTTTTGTCCCATCCAAATCAAAGGGTTTTTCTGGGGGTACATA